AGAGCAAATAGCTTTAAGTGTAGTATAGTATTAATGGTTTTGTATATAGTTTAGTTTGTTTTGTATATAGAATTTTTACCTTATATTTTTTTTACATTATTTCTTTTTTTCGATTGATTTTATTTTGGCCAGATGTAATATTTTAATTTTGTTCTATTTTGTTATTCTCAAGGGACTGTGTCCCAGAATAAGGTTATTTTTCTATCTATCTATCTATCTAGGTTGAATGTAATGCTTCATGTTAAACATTTTCCCATTTAGAAATATCAATAATTTGACTCGTTTGTGCCAGCTCAATAGTTTTCCAAATTGTCCATTACCTTGGGGATTGTAAGCAGTACTTCCAGTAGTAGCAACACCAACGGTCGTAGAAAAAAATTAAGTTTTTGAGACAAAGAGTATGAACCTTTGTCAGTGTGCAAGTACTCAGAGGTGCCGAAAATTGAAAAAGTTTCTTAATTTTTGCGATCAAAGTCCTGGATGACATGTCTTAACATAGGAATACGAAAGGAAACCTGGAATACTCGACGATGAGTATCAGTAGATACCAATATTTTGAAGACGAAGGCAAAGGGCCTATAAAGTCTATCTACCAAGGTTTGTGGTTTTAAAATAAAATATTGGAAATAATGATAATTATAATAAATTTATTTATTTAGCAATTTTACAAATGCTTTTAGGCATTTTTGTAAATGTGGCATTCGTTAGCGAAGTTCCTCTGCGGAATGCGTGATTGGAGAAACATCCCAGTGAAAACACATCTGGCGTGAATCTTCTTAATGCAGAAGATCCCTGCTCCAGAGGAGTTCGAGTCTCTTTGTTGTATTTTAGGATGTCCAGCTATTGAATCATGGAAATTTTCGTAATTAACATAATAAAATAAATGATAAGAAACTATTTTTATTAATGAAATAAACTCCATTACTCTGGATATGTTTCAGCAATCGTTTTGATAACCTTTCCATTATCTAAGTATAGAAATTTCAAATTTTTGAAAATTCAGAAAAAGTATTTTCTAAAGAATTTAAGTACAATTTTTACCTTTTAGAAAGTCGTAGAGATGTCTGAAAAAATGGTAACCAGGAAATGACAATTCTGAAGAGTAAATTAGTTAGAAAGTGCTACTTCATAAGAGGTTTTTTGTTTTTGTGTTTAGAATACAAAATTCTTTTGGTATTTTATATTTTTTAAAATTATTCTGAGACAACTTAAAGGCTTTGTAATTAATATAATGCTCTGTTTTTAAAAACCCAAGGATTAAAATAAAATAAAAAAAATATCATTTTAGTAGTTTCTGTGATACTTCTTAGGAAAAAAATTCTAATGGCCTTTACTGTAATAAAGCTTTAAGTTGATTTAATTTATTTAACTTCTTAATAAATGTTATGATAAATGAGACTAACAGTAATTGGGCTTAGATTAGATTTAGATTTCAAAATACTGTATGTATTTTAATCCTATTTAATGCTAAAAAATACTTAATAATCCCTTTAGAACATTCTCTAAGCTCGGTTAATCCCATTCAACTTTAAAAAAAAGCCTCGATTTAGTTATTTGTTTCAAAGAAGGAACATTACAGTGTCATACGAAATTCTCGTAATTTTAAGGCATTACTGCAAAAAAAATTCTACAGCCGCTGAAGCAACTCATGAAATTATTTAATATAAAGGGAAAGAGGTCCTTGACCAGCGCACTGCTTGGCGTTTGTTTGAAAAATTTAGCAGTGGAGATACGACTTTGGAAAGTAAGAAGGGCTCCAGGCGACCATTAATGGATATTGATGAGGTTCTGCAGGAAGCTATAGTCAAACCGAGAGTCAAGTACTCGAGAACTTTTCAGGGATTGTGGTGTATAGAAAGACACTGTTTGTCGCCATAACTCTCCATAGGGAATGTAAAAAATAGCAGTAGACTGATCCCTCACGAAGTTACTCCTTAGGAATCAGCTAAGAGGTTAGGAATTTATTGGAAAACCCTTTCCTGGAAAACTTCTGCTTCATCTACCATATAATCCAGGCCTCGCACCATCGGATTACTACTTTTTAGATCCAAGGCCCATTTTCTTCAAGGAAAAAAAATTTGATAATTTTTCGGAAGTTGAAATTTCTATGACAGCGATCCCAAAGAATGGTAGCGTGGGATCGAGCAATTCGCTAGCAGATATCACTAATGATGGAAGGTAAAAATTTACTAACCTTCGAGTATTAATTCTGTTTTATATCAAAGAAATGATAACACAAATGTTTGGTTGAAAAACGGTCATTTTTTTTTTTTTTTTTTATGCACCCTATTATAATTGGTCTTAAAAAAAAACGCTGCAAATGATTTCACAATGGTTTATTATCTCCAAACAATTATACATCTAAAGTAACATTACCTTCCGAGTTACAAAGAAAAAAAGGTGATTCCAATTATTAGACTAAAATGTTTTTCTTTAATCATTAGTAATATGCTAAAAAAAAAAAGCATTATTTCAGTAACACATTTAAAATTAAAAAACCAAACCAAGGATATAACATTTGGAGTAAACACATAAAAACAAACCAGAGACGATATCGTTGCTCCTAATTGTCCGATTTTTACGATTTGTTTTTTAGGAAATTTCATAAACTTTTAAATAACCATGCAATAACAATTACAATAACAACAAAAAATATTATATATATTAAATATTCGGAATTTAATTTTAACATCCCTCGTAACTTTTTTTCCAGCTTCTTTTCGTTGAAGTATGTTATATAGATAAACTTAAAGGGCGTCGAGAAAATTACTTTAGGGAAGTTTCATTGAAATCTGTATATTCCTTTAGGAGCTACAGTCTATAGCAACGCAGGTTTTTCGGCCGCCATTTTGAAAGTCAAAGGCGGAGAGTAATGTCGATGAAGGAGGATCATCCTTGGGAGACCTCTGATTTTATATCAAAATTTGAAAAAAATCGGTCCAGTAGTTTCGGAGAAAATGCGCGGACGGCGGAAAGACAAAAATTTTTTTATTCGTTTTTCAAATTCTACGCATCTTGAAACGTGATACCTCAAATTTTGAGAGGGGATTATGTTTTTTAATGTTTTGGTCGATCACAATGTTTCATTATTGAAAATAATAAACCAACATGACTCTATTATGTTGCTTTTTCAGAAGTTGAGATTAACTTTATTTTTTAAATCGACTTTTATACGAAATCAAGAAAACATTAAAATAAATGTTAATTAAAAATAAATGGTCTATAAAACGTTTATTTATTTGAGCCTTAATACTTAGTTTTGGAATTTATTAAAAAATCACGCTGGTTGTTGAAAAATGATTAATTTATATATAGAATGATATTATTTTCCTTGTGCGTCAATATTAAATATTTCAAAGCATAACGTATCTATTTATCTACGGGTTATCTGCCCGATGGTTTTTTATTTAATTTTTTCTTGTCATTGTTATTTTACATGCTACCAATTATAACCGGTAAGAATCAGTTATGAGTAAAAATATATAATCCTTAGAGAACAGATTGGAGGATCATTGACCAGCGGAGCTGCACAGCGGACTGTTAGTGAGTGACATTCATTTATTTATTTTAAAATTTATTTATTATAAATAAAGGTGGTGAGCATTATCTTAAGTTAATACTTTTCTGCATAATCTGATTTAACACAAGACTTCACCGCATTATTTATTCTTTGTTTAATATCCGCATATAGTTTAGAAAGTTATTTTTCTAAACATTTTTTTCATAATATTTTGTTTAGAACAGATATAGTGATCGCGCGGTATATTAGTAACATATCTATCCCAGTTTGCTTTTTATATATTTTTGTCATTACAATATTTAATATAATAATAAAAATATTTGATATAATAACAAAAATATCAACATTTTAACGGTAACATAAATCATAATAGTTAAATCGTGAACAGTTAACCTATATCAAATAGAGGTATATGACTGTAAGAATTTTTTTAATAATACTGTAAAAAATCTGGTGCGCGCAACACACAACTTTCGCTAACCGCTTAACTTTGAATAGAAATTATTTTCTAGCCATATTGGGCTATTTGAATTACATTTTAAAAAATTTGTTAAAAATTGTTTTAGAGCCAGTTGCTCCAACTTTGTAAAGCTTAGATTAAGCGTTACCGAAGATTAAACCAAGTTTTTTAAGGTCGACCAAGATTAAACTTGGTTTGATCTTTGATAACGCTTAATCTAAGCTTTACTAAGTTGGAGTAACTGGCCCTTAGTGTTTTATTAAAATATCGTTTAGTAACTATAATACAATTCTCCCTAAAGTATTATTTTTGGGCCTCGATAGAAGCTCTCGGTCCTTGATTAGTGTTGCCCAAAATCGGTCTTGGTCTTGCACTTGGAATGACCTCCTAACTGTTGCAAGACCAAGACCACGACTGGTAAAAAAAATCGATTTTTCGAATAATAATTAAGGCAAAATAGTTACAAATATTTGAAAATTTTAGTTCCTATATGTAAAGAATTTGTTTGTATAACCGACATACTTATGCAATTAATTCTTGTACTTCTTCTTTCGGGCTTAGTTAGTTTTCTTCTTTCTAAAACATTTACACTAATATTTCTATAGTAATGAGCTAATAGTTAACTGCAAGACTGTTGCGAGACTCTTAGGACCAAGACCTAGGACCAAGACTCGTCTCGGTCTCGCATTTGGGCAACACTACTCTTGATTGTCGTTAATATTTCAACCAATAACATAAGTTCAATTTACTTCGGAACTGATTGATTTATTTTAATATAAAGTTTATTTATTCCCACGTATATGAGGTATGCAACAAAATGATAATATAACTTTTCATCTAGCAGTAAAATCTTGAGTCATCCAAAAAAAAAAAAAAAAAAAAAAAAATTAAACTTGTTATAATTTTTGCAAACGGAAATGAGGGAAAATATGCCTTACTGAAGGGATTTACTCACTAAAGTTTTTCACAACATTACGAAGTAACACTACTTCTGTAGGGAAGACATCTGTTGTATTATACTTAATTTTAGCAAACATTCTTGTATCTCTTATATATTCATTAATTGCATACAATAATAATGTAATCAGGTGATCGTATTTCATCATTAATTATCTTCCATGAATTTGTTTCAGACAATAATGTTGTACCATAGATAGAGAGATGGTGGACTTAACAATTCTACTACTGGCGGCATTCGCGCTAACTTCCATGGTAAGTTCATGATCAGCAGCCTCAGAATATTCTTTCACGTAACTGTACATAGTGAAAAGAAAAATATTTAAATGAGTCACAGCAAAGCTCAAGAACTAAAAAAAAAAAAACTTGATATATAGAATGCAGAAAAATAGGAAATTTAAGTTTTATTTTTTTTAAGTGAGTCCCATTTTTTTTGTTGTACATGACACGAAAAAAATGTTGAATTGAAGCAATTAGCAATAAATTTATCAACAAACTGTGGTATAAATATACAAATAATAACATTAATAATAATACGGAAGATATTATCAGATATCAAACCTAAAAATAATTTCAACATGAAAGATAATAATATGACTAAGAGAAATAAAAATCTTATAATGGATGTTTTTAAAGAGTTGGATAGTAAGGAAAATGCAAAATATGACAATCAAGATGATAAAGAAAAACAAAGCAGAAAATATAATATTTATTTAAAAATTAATTTCAAAATTGGCGGGGAAAAAAGTGGTTTTAAAAAATTTAATCTTTATAAACTCAAGTTTGGGCTAGACAACGATAGTAAACCGGAAAGACACATACACAATATGAAATATTGAATCAAATTAATAGATAAAAAAATATGTTATATATGAAATTCTCTGTATGCAATGTCCCAAACACTATATTTGTTTAGGCTGTTACATTGATGTTTGATTGATAACAATCGATACGAAATTTATAAATATTATTTATCGATATTACCATATGTTCAAGCTGTTGCTTTTATTTTCATTTTTTATTTTACACATAATTATAAATAGTAAATTATGATTAAAAGGTATTTTCGTTTTGTTTAATTTACACAAAAATATATTTGTAATATGAATAGAGAGAACTTTATATAGTTTAATTTGAATGTAAAAAACAATCATCTCTCTTATTAATGGCCCCCCTCCCCAACACTACGAGCTATACTTGCTACCTATGAATGGAGATCGAGCGTATTTATTCTCTATAATCAGGTAGTTGAGTGGCGTTTCCCTTTAATAAAGTCGATTACAATGTTTCTTAGAAATAAAAAACTTTTCTTATTCCTTTAACATGTTTGATTAGAGAGAACTTGATCAAAGGGAATAAACAATTTATGGCCACGTTTTTTGAAAAAAATTCGTTTTTTTTTTTTTTTTTTTTTATCATCTTCCCAGAAGTACGAATCCCTAAAAACTATGTGAAATATTTTAAACCAAGTACTCATGCTTAAATTGTAAATTGTAATCCTCAGAGAAAAATTGTAAGAGGAACCGCGCTGCAGAGAAAGAAGACAGTGGAGATACAAGCAACACTAAACTTATCAACAATAAAAGAATTTTTCGCAAAACGAAAAAAATCATTTTTCGAAAAATCCCAACAATTGGCAAACCCTATTTTTAACAATTTATTACCAGCCAAAATTCCAAAACGTTAGCAACAAATCGCATGAGGTAGATGTTTTATTAATTTAGTTGTAAGCTCTAGAGGATAAGGTCAACTCAAGCCTGAGGTGAGCCCCATCACCTTTTATATTACAAATGAAGAACGAAATACTTAGAAACAGCAAAAATCTAAAAATAAACCTTACAATGGTTTTAAGCAGTAAATGGACTATTATTAAGACCATCCAAGGATTAAAGACAAAAATAAGTAGAAAGGGGATATGAAAAAAAAAAAAAACTCATGCTTCATTTCAGCGCAAAATATTAATTTTTAAGTAATTTAGTAGAGCCGCTTAAGAGAAACCTAGCCAACAGCGAAGATAAACGACAAGAATCAGACCAGCAAAGATAGTATTTCAAAATTTTATATTTCGGTACTTTGAAGTTATAATTACAATGGACATTTAGATATTTGCTCTCCTCGACGTGACGTATGTCTGTTTGATTTCAATCTTAAATACCCTCAATTTTTAGAGACCTGGGCATCTTTCAACCCGTAATTAATAATAATCTTACAACACGTTGGTTCGTCCGATATTTATGCGGATTTTTAAACTATGACTCGACGGTTAAATGGTGAACTGCAAAACTGGCTAACCCTATGTTTAAAAGATGTAAGTCTGATCATATCGTAATGTTTCATATAATGATTCTAGTTTTTGGTTTATTATTTTCAATAATCAACAATTGTGATCGACCGAAAAATTCAAAAACTTAACCCCCTCTCAAAATTTGGGTTTCACGTTTCAGAACACATAGAATTCGAAAAACGAATACAAATTCTTTTGTCCGTCGGCCGTCCGCCATCCGCGCATTTTCTCCGAAATGACTGGACCGATTTTTATCAAATTTTGATATAAAATCAGAGGTCACCCGAGGATGATCCTCCTTCATCAACATTAGTCTCCGCCTTTAACTTTCAAAATGGCGGCCGAAAAACCTACGTTGCTATAGACTGTAGCTCCTAAACGAATGTACAGATTTCAATGAAACTTCGCTAAAGTCATTTTATCGAAGCCCTTTAAATTTATCTATATAACATACTTTAACGAAAAGATGCTGGAAAAAAAGTTACGAGGGATGGTAAAATTAAATTCAGAATAACTCGAAAAGTAGAAAAAATAAATAAAATCGGACAATTAGGAGCAAAGATATGGTCTCCGGTTTTTTTAATATGTTCTACTCCAAATATTATATCCTTGGTTTGGTTTTTAAATTTTGAATGTGTTACTGAACTAATGCTATTTTTTTTTAGCATATTACTAATGATTAAAAAAAAAAGTTTATTCTAATAATTGGAATCACCTTTTGTTTTTGTTTTTTTTGTAACTCGGAAGGTAATGTTACTTTAGATGTATAATTGATTGGAAATAATCAACCATTGTAAAATAATTTTCAGCGTTATTTTTTTCGGGAATACTTTCTTTATTGAATATTAATATCTTCTGCCACATTAAAGGGCATCCTTCTCGACCTAGGAGCGCCAATCAACGATAAGGATAAAGCCGGAATCACTGCACTAAATCATTCATTAGAGAGAGGATATGTTGCCGTAGTAACATTACTGTGTGATCGTGGAGCAGATATAACAGCTAAGTCAAATGTTGGCTGTACATCACTAATGGAAGCATCTAAGAGTGGCCATTTTGAAATGGTGAAGCTTCTTCTTGACCGAGGAGCACCTATTGACGATAACGCCGGAGTTACTGCACTGAAATATGCCGCAAGAAAAGGACATGTTGACGTAGTGAGATTACTCCTAGATCGTGGAGCGGATCCAAGAGCTAAGACATATGGTGGCTGGACACCACTAATGGAAGCATCTCATAATGGCCACTTTGATGTTGTAAAGCTTCTACTTGATCGAGGAGCGCCTGTCAACGATGAAAATAATAAGGGATTGACTGCACTAAATCATGCAGTACACAAAGGGCATGTTGATGTTGTGAGATTACTCTTAGATCGTGGAGCGAATCCAATAGCTAAGTCAAGCGTTGGCTGGACTCCAATAACAGAAGCATCTTTCAATGGTTACTTAGATGTGGTGGAAGTCCTTCTTGACCGAGGAGCTCCTATTAATTATAAGAGTTATAGCGGATTAACTGCACTAATTCATGCAGCACGACAAGGACATGTCGATATTGTGAGGTTACTGTTAGATCGTGGTGCAGATCCAACAGCTAAGTCAAATTTTGGCTGGACACCAATAATGGAAGCCTCTTTTAATGGTCATTTAGATGTGGTGAAACTTCTTCTGGACCGAGGAGTGCCTATCAACGATAAGAGTAACAAGGGATTTACTGCACTGTATTTCGCAGAGAAAACCAGACGTGCTGACGTAGTTACTTATCTTAAATCACATGGAGGGGTTTAGTAACATTAGTAACATGATTGTCTGTTAACACATAAAAAAAAAAAAGTTTGAAGAAATTATTTATAAACGCTTTAATAAATTGTTTTAATGTTTATTTGTGATTGAAATGAGATATTTTTTCTCTATTATAATATTGCACTGTATACAAGATTATGTAAATAAATAAAAATTAGTTGAAGGTAAGAAGTTTATGTTAAGGAACTATGGGTACTCTTCACCATATTCATTTAAAAAATGTTTTTAAATACACATAAAATTAGAATATGTATAAATATACATATAACCAAATGAAATTGTTAGAATAATGACTAAGAACTAAAGGGGACCCTACACGGTCAATCGGAATTGCACTAATGACGTTCCGAATTGTCGTGTAAGGTAGTGAATGAAGTACTGATGGTAGTGCGCTGCGGATTTCCGAACATCCGGAAATCAAAGGTTCATTCACGAGAAGTGGAAAAGAGACTGAGGTAAAAGTAGTGGGGAGACTAACCATACTGCTGGATAGGTTAGGTTACCTAGGCCTCACAACCATTATAAATTTCTGATTTTCATTATATGTAAATAGTTAAATAATTTTTCATATCCCTTGTTTATTTTAAGCCATCTTCAACTATTTCTTTTAAATAGTCAAGTGGGCAACAAATAAAAAAAAAAAAAATGAGGAAACTTCAGAATTTAATTTAGGAAAAAAAAAACTTTAACGTTGTGTATATTTATCAGTTCATTTCCCATTTTCCTCAACAAATTTATTATTTTCGCAATACCTTTCCTTAATTTTTGTAAGTAGTAGACTTATATTTTACTAACTTTTGTCAAAACGATTTTCTATGAGACTAACCTTACTACTAGATAGGTTAGTTTACCTAGGTCTCGTTATTAAGTAAATAATTTCATAAAAGTAAATAGTTGTTTATATTCCTAATCTATATTATTATTAACCATTTTCAAATATTTTTTCTTTAAATAGTCTAGTAGGCAATAAATTGGAGAGAAAAAAAAAGTGGAAACTTCACAATTTACTTATAGAAAAAAAAAATCTTCAACTGTTGTGTTTATTTGCCATTAATTTTTCAATTTTTCTTAACAAATTGATCATTTTCGCAATACTTTTCCTAGATTTCTGTATGTAGTTGACTTATGTTATTCTAACTTTGGTCTATCAGTTCTGCGCATGCGTTAGCCTAAGTTAAACATACGTCAGGTCATCTCTTACAAAATTCTTCATTAATAGTGGCAGTGTTCAACTTTAATGTGAAACAACAGTGTTACCTGTTATATTAACAATTAAGTTTGTTACTGAACAAAAGAATAAGGTGAGTAATCACTTATTTACAGCTCAATAGTGAACAGTGTAAATAGACCTCAGGTTAGTTACTGATAGCGGCCGGCCATAACATCGCTAATCCCACCAGTGGGCTCTGGCTCTCCTTCCAAGGAGGTTCTGTGCCGATCAGTCCTCTCTAAGCACGCGTATATATTTCCGTGTTTAAAAAAAAAAAAAAAAATTTTGTTATCACTTCTCATTTTACAATTTTTACTATCACTTATAATATGAAATGCGATATTATCATATGCTAATGTCGAGCAAGGGTAAAAATACTAGATCCAGGAGCCTCGATACTACAATGAGTTCTCCTATTAAAAAAAGAACAAGGCGTTCGAAAAGAAATACTCCACCAGCCACACCAGGGAGCTCTGTTGAAGAAGTGGATCCCCAACCTGGTACCTCACAACAACAAAACAATCATGAGACAACTCAGACTGGTGAAGAATCGCCGTTTTTTACTCAGAACCCATTTCAAGTGCTATCTAATACACAAAACGAAGAAATGGAAGCAGCACCCACCCCCAGGGAACCCAAACCCCCACCAATATTCCTTAGGAATATTAAAAACTTTCAGTTAATGTGTCACCAATTGAATAACCTAGTGGGCTCAGGAAAATATTTATGCCAAAGCCGCACCAATGACACTAAATTAATGCCCGACACTCCAGAAACTTACAGAAAAATTATAAAATATTTATCTGATACCAAGGCGGATTACCACACGTATCAACTGCGTCAAGAGAGGGCGCTCAGGGTCGTTATCAGAAGACTGCACCCATCTACGCCAACTGATGCTATAAAAGAAGAGCTCGTGGGTATGGGATTCCATGTTCGCCAGATAGTGAACATATTCAAGGAGGATAGAGAACAGCCTGGAATAAAAAGTAAAATACCGCTCCCACTATTCTTCGTTGACCTTGACCGAACGCCCCAGGTCGAAGACATCTACAAGGTCACACGCCTTTATTACACCAGCGTTGTTGTGGAAAAGCCTTACACCAAGCGCGATATCGTTCAATGCCATAACTGTCAGGCTTATGGCCATACGAAAAGATATTGTCATCACATTCCTAGATGTGTGAGGTGTGGTGAGCAACACAAAACAGAAGAATGTAGGAAGTCTAGAACTTCACCTGCAGTATGCGCTTTATGCCACCAAGGGCACCCTGCCAACTACAAGGGTTGTCAAACATACAAAGAATTAAAAACAAGAATGTACGCAACTCCTAGAGAAGAAGGTACATCCAGGCCACCAAGACAACCCTCTAGAACAGTGAACGGAAGAGTGACCTATGCTCAGATGTTCAAAGGAGACACTATAAACACTCAATCTCAGGCCCTGCCACAAGAACCTCAACCTCGAGAATTCACAAATCGACCTCAAGACCCACATCCCTCCATCCCTGAACCTAGGTTCAATACCCAGACATACATTCCTCCTCCTTCCAATTCCACTGACCTCACAAGCCTATTAACTTCTTTCCTCTCTGAATTTAGATCCCTTATCACCCCTCTTATTTCATTACTTACCAATGTTATATCCAACCTCATTCCACCGCCGAGAAATCCATAAATGTCCTCAACCAAATCCCTTTCCATTCTCCTATGGAATGCGAATGGTATTCGAAATCACATCAACGAACTGACAATCTTATTACATGACAAAAACATTGACATAGCACTAATAACTGAAACCCGACTAACCAACAAACGACAAATCAACGTTCCTGGCTACAATATTTATAGAACCGATCATCCTGATGGAACAGCACATGCTGGCACTGCTATAATTATCCACCGATCTCTCTCCCATCATTTATTTCCCTTACCAACCCATAATTTCCTACAATCCACTGCTGTAATAATCCAAACTTCCCTTTACCCAATAACATTAGTTGCGGCATATTCCCCGCCTAAAATACCCATTTCCGAATCCCAAATAATTTCCTTCCTGAATTCCTTAGGACACCATTTCATCCTAGGTGCAGATTTAAATGCAAAACACCAACAATGGGGAGCCAGATCCACAAATTCCCGAGGGCGAACACTGCTATCTGCACTTAATTCACATCGCAGCAACATCCTTTCACCTAATACTCCCACATACTGGCCAACAGATCCCAACCGCAATCCCGACCTTCTAGACTTTTTTCTACACAAAGGTCTAGGATCATTACACTGTTCCATTTCAAGGCTTGATGATCTTTCCTCAGACCACAGTCCTATAGTCCTAACCGCTTCTACATCACCCATTCCTAAATCATCCTCTCCTTCATTTATCAGGGGACCAGTTAACTGGAACCTTTTCCGTCAAATATTGGATGATAATATAGACCTCAGAGTTTCCTTAAAAACACCTGAAGACCTTGACGATGCAGTGGACTCCTTTACTAAGCTGATCCAGCAAGCAGTTTGGACTGCATCCTCACCTGATCGTCCCAAAAAACACCTCAGTATAAATCCTCTACCCCAAGACCTATTGGACCTTATCCATAGCAAACGATGCTCTAGGGCCCTCTGGCAAAGAACCAGGCATCCTGATGACCGGAAATCGTATAACTATTATTCCAAACAGGTAAAAAAGAAACTGGATATCTTTAGAACCCAATCCTACAATTCCTACCTTTCCTCATTAACATCTAGTGATAACTCCCTCTGGACTGTAACTAAAAAAATCCTTAAAGTCCAATCCATTTCCCACCCCCTCCGCCGTGATGATGGTTCCTGGGCTTCGTCAGATGCGAATAGAGCTGAAGAGTTTGCTAAACATTTATCCTACACATTCACTCCCCATCCCGAACTCCATCCCACCCACACTGCTGAAGTTAAAGAATTCCTCTCTTCACCAATTCCTCTCTCTCTACCTCCAAAACCTGTTAACCCCTCTGAGGTCAAATTCCTCATAAACAAATTAAAACCCCGAAAATCCCCTGGATATGATCTCCTCACTTCACAAATCCTTAGACAACTTCCCAAAAAATCAATTATATTCCTGACCTATCTATATAATTGCATCCTTCGTACTACCAACTTTCCCTTGATGTGGAAACACTCCATAATCGTGCTGTTTCCAAAACCAGGCAAACCCGTTAATAACACATCATCCTACAGACCGATCAGTTTACTCCCTATCCTCTCAAAAATCTTTGAAAAAATCCTCCTCAAACGCATCCTACCCATACTCGAATCCCACAACATCCCTTCTCATCAATTTGGATTCCGCTCAAGACATTCCACTGTCCAACAAGGCCTTCGTGTTGTGGACCATATATCCTCTGCACTTGAAAACAAGCAATATTGCACTGGTGCCTTTCTGGACGTAGCGCAAGCTTTCGACCGGGTGTGGCACGATGGCTTGCTTTTCAAGCTCAAAACCCATTTACCCCAATCCTTATACCTAGTCCTCAAATCCTATCTCTCAAATCGTTCCTTCCAAGTCCGTTGCGGCACCGAATTCTCCACTTACTATCCAGTTGAGGCTGGTGTTCCACAAGGCAGTGTTTTGGGTCCAGTTCTCTACATCCTTTTCACTGCCGATATCCCTCCAAATCCCGATACCTTCCTAGCTACATTTGCCGATGATACTGCCATTCTATCCTCCCACTCAGATCCTCAAATAGCATCTCAAAACCTACAATCTCACCTCTCCTTGATTGAGCAGTGGTGCAACGACTGGCGCATTAAAATCAATGAAGCAAAATGTAAACATATTACTTTCACTCTGCGACGCAGATCCTGTCCCACAATCCTTTTCAATTCAATACCACTTCCCTACTCAGATACAGTCCGTTACCTTGGCTTCCTTCTAGACAAAAGACTAACTTGGAACCCACATACGAGACTTAAAAGACAAGAACTTAACCAACGATATGGCCAGCTATATAGACTACTAAGCAGGACATCTCATCTTTCGATTGAAAATAAACTTTTAATCTACAAGACAATACTGAAACCTATCTGGACCTACGGACTTGAACTGTGGGGAACTGCTAAGCATTCGAATATCAAACGCATCCAATCCTTCCAGTCCAAAGTACTTAGAACAATAGCCAATGCCCCATATTATGTCACAAATAAGACCCTACACCATGACCTTAACATCCCTTTTGTCCTCGACATCATCCCATCCAGATTCTCAAACTTTCACCAGAACCTTATCCATCATCCAAATCCTCTAGCTCAATCCCTATCCAGCTCCCACCATCCCTACAATCCCCCTCGAAGGTTAAAACGGCAGTGGCCGCGAGATCTATTGTAAATATGCTTCTGGAGTCCTGGCAATGGCCAGCTTCTCCACTCAAGTCCTGAGCATCTGTGGCTCTAGTGCCCTCCTTCAGCCTCCACTGGCTTTTAATACTAGTGATGCGGCTGGAAAAGTGGCACTGGGATCTCTGGAGTCCTGCTTTGCTTTCCACATGTGGGGAGAAAAGGCTGGCTCGGAGATTCCTGGGCGAATGTATATAGGTATGAATGTGTTTAGAAGTTTTTATTTTATTTTGTTTATTTATTTTTTTATTTTATTTTTTTTTTTTTCTATTGATTTACATTTTTTTTTTATAAGTATTATTTATTTACTTTTATATTTATAGTTACTTCTGTATTACTTGTATATACTGTATGAATGAGAACTTTTAGCCTTAATACTTATAGCCCTCCAACAGTGGCTGATTGTATTATTATTCAATAAAAATAAAAAAAAAAAAAATAAAAATAAAAAAAAACTTTGGTCTAAACGATTTTCGTCTAAACGGAAGTAATTATTATATCTCCGTTTTTCTCTTGATGCCTAATATTATAAATGGCAATGTCCAAATAAGCATATCTATGATGTTTCTTTGTTTACAACTGAGCTAAATTGGTATCGGCAACGGTAAGTAATGATCAGTAATGATTGAACGTGTAGGCGTCTTCATGATCAAAGCGATAGCGGGCAATCTTGGAACTTCTTGTGACGTTCATTCATGAATTACCGTGTAGGGTCTGCTTAAGAGATAAATAATAATAACCGTTACAAAGTGTGGAATGATGAAGTAGGCATAATCAAAAAGGGTGATATAAGTGTTACAATGGGAATAAAATGTAAAACATAAAAAAGAAATATGAAGTTATATAAGAAATGAAAATATATAGTAAAATTAAGACATTGAGAATTGAGAATTTAGATAGAAATTTTCTATCTAACTACTCAATTCTCAATGTCTTAATTTTACTATTTATTTTCATTTCTTATATAACTTCATAATTCTGTTTTATGTTTTACATTTTATTCTAAGATTCCCAATTTAACACTTATGTCACCCTTTTTGATTATGCCTACTTCATCATTTCACACTTTGTAACGGTTATTATTATTTATCACTTAGTTCTTAGTCATTATTCTAACAATTCCATTTTACTTTATATTTATTTATTTTATTTTTTTAATTTTATTTTACTTTATTTTTTTTACCATCCCTACTTATGTTTCTCATACCTTGTTATCTGGTTATTTTCTTAGCCCTCATGAAGGCCTGAACTTCAGGTCGAAACGTCGGCATATGTAAAAAATAAATATTATCATTTATTGTTTGCCTTCCTTTTTGACTGACCACCCCAACTATTCTTCTCTTAAATATTTTTTTCTATTATAATATTGCACTGTATACAAGATTATGTAAATAAATAAAAATTAGTTGAAGGTAAGAAGTTTATGTTAAGGAGCTACGGGTACTCTTCACCATATTCATCTAAAAAATGTTTTTAATTACACATTAAATTAAAATATGTATAAATATACATATATATAATCATACAATACATTACAAAAGTTAAGTTATATATTAAATTAATAATTGTGGGTAAATGGTTGACTGTCGTGAATATTGAAGAGAAGAATAGTTGGGGTGATCAGTCAAATAAGAAGGCAAAAATAAATGATAATATTTATTTTAACAAGTTGATTCTCCGTTTTTACACCTTTGGAGACAGCCCTGACGAAGGCCTGAACTTCAGGTCGAAACGTTGCCAAAATAAATATTATAATTTATTTTTGTCTTCGTATTTGACTGATCACCCCAACTATTCTTCTCTTCATTATATTTTTTTTTTATTTATATTTGTTTATTTAGAAATATTACATTCTGTCACATCAAGGACAATATATTATATATTATATAATTTGTTGATTATATTATATTAAATATTATATATTAAATTTGTTGATTGTCACTACAGGAATCCGCCAATATTTCCACATACGTTAAGAGTGTTTGTTCAATCCGCGTTATGGACTTCGTTCTTTCTATAAGTTTTTATAAAAATTGTTAAAATTTAAATTTAAATTGGGCTTTTTCATCTGAATGTTGAAAAATAAAATCACAAACTATGGTATAATAGGTATTATAATTCAGTGTTTTTTAACTAACCAAAATTTACGTATAATATCACTTACTATCTGAGGAGAGAGGACGCCTGTTTTGCTTTACTTTCCAGTTTACAGTCTTACTCTAAGCTTTGAAATGTGTAATACCATCAGAACTCCCACCCCCAAAATGAACCACAATCTCCTCCACTGTTAAAATTAAAGAAAACGGATTTTTTTATTATTTTATATATATATATATATATATATATATATATATATATATATATATATATATATATATATAATCTTCGATCTGAGTCAGGCGAAAAAAGATGTATATACATCTGAGACCTCTATATATATTCATACACACTCACACACACACACACACACACACTGAATACACTTTTAAATACATTTTCACACCATAAATATGTACATACATACAGATATGTCATTGGAATTTTTCATTTTAATACCTGTACTCCCTTCGAAGCGTCTGAAAAGAAGATGGCCTCGAGATCTCCTTTTGTAAGTACATTTTTAGAGTGCTACCAGTGGGTAGTTTCTCAACAAGTGACTTCATGTTATTATATTCTTTTGTTCACATTTACTGAATGTACTTTTACTTGTAATACAGTTGTAAATATCATCAATAAAATAAATAAAAAAATAAAATATCTGTACTATTATTTAATTGTATTGTTTTGAAATATTAGCCTAATCGAGTTTTTAATTCATAATGGTCTCTTGGTTACCTGCTATGTATATGGTATCAATGGCTTTCTTTTGGGGCCTGAGTTTATTATTGAAAATTAATTTATAAGGCCGTATTAGTTTTTGAGTTTGGATTTAAATTATTTTAATGATAGTATAGATGTGTTTTTAGATCAGTAGATGTGATCTCAATATAGGACTTTTTCATTGGTATTTTTCATTCCAAAATCAATTATACCGTCAAATTTTTGGTTTACCGATGGGACCAACCTCTCTATCAATCTATGAGGGTTAGTCCTGAATAAAATAATAGATCAGTCACTCCAGTCGTCGAATATAAAACAGTTGCTCATTATAAAAAAAAATATGTAGACAATTTTCTAATAGCTACAAAAGAAGAATATTCTAAATTAACTAATACCAAAAATAATATACATAGAAAATTAAATTCATCTCAGAGACCGAAGAAAATAGTAAGCTAAAATTAATAGATGTAACAATAGTTCGGAATAGAGTTAAGATACTTACAAAATGGTACCATAACCAATTACAGGGGAATATATTTTAGATTTTTATTCAAACCACTCAAAGTCCCAAATCATTAATGTACCAACTAATCTAATAAATAAATCTATAAAACTTTGTGGGGGCCAGGAGTATTTCAAAATCGAAAATACAAACCTTTCCCTGGTGAGTTTCGTAAAAGGTTGAGAAAATACGAGCAAAACTAAATGAAGGGAAAAAAGGTTTATAAATTATGAGTAAGAAATGAGACCTTTTTTTTTTTGCCTACTCCCCTTTCTCGCCTACTAGGGCTATACGGGGTTTTCCCGGGCCAGGGGGTGTGGGCGGGGATTTAAAACACGCCTTGGCACTGGGACGCGAACTCCTGACTATTTGTATAACATTTTTGTCATATATCAGGTTGCCGGGCAACGGTGGTGCTGTGCACAACGCGTTAGCCCATTCGGCCACCCCGCCAACTAAAAAATGAGACCTATAGAACATGAAAAATGCATGCAGATCAAAAAATAAAAACATATTCAAGAAATCAATAATGAAAAATTAGGAATTTCCCTTCTGAACGTTTACAATATTTATTATTGAGATAAAAAATATACATACAAAAGTTAAAAAACAAAATAAACAATGGTATGAAGTTCAATGAAATAAATAAAAAACACAAAATATAATATTCAGTAAAAAATATAATCGTCCATCAAAACAAAACATAAATAAAATAAACTTCTATAATAAAGATTAAATCAACAGAAAAAAATAACTTCAAGAGAACAAAACCAAATTAATATTTAAATGTCTTTCGAAGACGGCGGAGGATAAAAAAACTAGCCAAGTTGGAGGTTACCTTGTACAATGCCAAACAGTATCGAATCTGTAGGCCTATCGATCTCGATCGAAGAATGCCGATGCCGATGCACAGCTGTCGTTTGAAAATGGCGCCAGACTGGTGCCAGGTGAGGTGAGCTGAGCTTGGAGGTGGTGAAATGGTGGGGATAGACGTCCAATACGTGGACCAAACACAAACGAAAGCTCACTCCAGACTGCCATTCCGGAAGTCTTATAGCAATATTGGTGTCTTAATCCTTAAGACTCAGTATTACTAACGGGCTGGTGTGTATATATAAATACGATAATTCATCTGGAATAAACCAAATATATCAGCAATATACACTGAGATACATTTTAGGGACACTACTCCTCAGTTTTTTACCAAAAAAATAAATGAACATTTATTCAATTAACATTCAAAAGGAGGGATGGTGATAAAAAAATAACAATGAAAAAAAAATATGCAAGCATATGCGGCGTTAGCAAAGTTACAGATGATTTTTTTTAAGGGGTAAAGCATCAGGTATTCAAAATTCTAGACAATAGTTTTTGTCTCAAGCATATTACAAATAAAATTTGGTAAGCTACTCTAAATAAACACGAAAAAAAGATAATAATAAAGAAACCGATCATAATAGAAATTGTAATACTAAAACGCAACGTCTCAGAAACACGAAAGAGAAAATCAAGATGAAAATTACACCTCCACCATCTCAAATCACTATATATATATATATATATATTTTTTAAGTTGATCAGAAAGTAGATTAGGGTCCGGTTCCATCTAAAACCATATTATACGATCAGAAAATTGCTATAGATTTTTTTTTTCAATGATACTATGTAGTATTAATACAGTCTGCGACACTGAAGAGCATTGGTACTCGAGCTATAGTATTCATTCAAACAATATGTACATAAGAAAGGAAAATAAATATTAAAAAAAAAAGTAGAAGAAAACAAAAGATAAAGTAATTGTATATTATAATAACAGATGGATAAATAAAATAACGGATTAAATCCGAATGGTAATAAAATAAATAAAATACATTCACACCTATGTAACGTTTCCGATTACTTCAGCAATTACTAGACAAACGCTCTAAACTTCCCATTAATTACAAAAGACTCATATACTTGACTGTAATAAGACCTATTTGGACTTACGGAGTTGAGCTATGGGGCTCCACTAAACCATCGAATTCCTCTAGCATCCAATCCTTACAATCCAAAATCTTTCGTAAAATCCTCAATGCTCCTTACTTTGTCACTAATAAAATTATCCATAAAGATCATAATATTCCTTATGTTTCAGATCTGGCCCAATCCAGATACCTATCCTTCCATAATAAACTTCAGAAACATCCCAACCCTCTCGTTTCTAACCTTGCTTCCTCTTCAATTCCTGATAACCCTCCGAGGCGTCTGAAAAGAAGATGGCCCCGTGATCTCCTAATGTAGTCATTTCATTAGAGTTCTACCATCGGGTAGTTAGTATTCATGTCATTATATCTATTATGTCCAAATTTACTTGATGTATTTATGTAATACAGTTGTAATTGTCATTAAGAAATAAAAAAAAACATAAAACACCTATGTAGAATATTTACATTGCAGGAATCCGGAAACCGAACTGTGTCGGAGAGGGGAAGTGGTATGGAGTTGAACTAAACTTGTGGACATGATATGCCGAAGGATGAAGGTGATATGTCTGATTTTGGATTCATTTACATGTATGCGCTACTTATTACACGAGTGTTCAATAAGAGAGAGGGGACTTTGTAGATTAAAGGATGCTGTTTCGGGGTCTGAATTGGAAGATAGGATGGCCGCTAGCAATAAAAACAACAGGCGGCTAGGATCGATATCTAGATCCAAAGAGGTTGCATCAGCTTGCGCATGCTATAGCCTAAGTTGCCTTGGACGTTTGTCATTAGACAGAACCCTAGCAGGGCGGCCAGAGAAATAGGATTGGAGTACTAGATATAAGGACTGAGGTAGATAGGTTTTAAGCATGGAGAGCAATCGGGTGTCTCATACCAGGTCAAAAGCTTGCGCAATGTCCAGAAATGCATTCAAGCAATATTTGTAGATTTCTAGAGCTCAGGATATATGACCAAAAACTCAATTGGTGGGTAGGAAGGTTTTGAAATTCCATAATGGGTAGGATTCTTTTCAGTAGAATCTTTTCGAAGATTTTTGAAAGGATGGGAAGTAGGGATTGGTCTATAGAATGTTGTGTTATTGGAAGATTTACCTGGTTTCGGAAAAATAATGGTGACATAGTGTATCCATAAGAGAGGAAAGTGGGCAGATCGTAGGATACAAGTTTTTATATCCAGTCGTGTCCAGGAGATTTACGGGGAGATAGTTTGATTTCAGAAGGATTAGCTGCTTTTGGTGGTAAATAGGGTGGGATGGGTGAAGAGAGGTATTCTTCTACTTTGGGTTGGATGGGATTTCGGATGAGGGGTGAATGTTTAGGAGAGATGAGGTATGAGTTTAGGGTCTTAAACAGTAGGGTCTGAAGTTGGATAATTCCTGCTTTAGTTGCTTACAGTATTAATTATAGGAACGGCGATCGGCTGGATGTCTAGTGCTTTGCCATATTGATCTGACACGGCGTTTGATATGGATTAGGTCGAGGAAGTGTTGAGGTAACTTATTTTTCTTAAGGATTTTTGTGGAATGATTAAGGGAGGAAGCAGTCCCGACTGCTTGTTGAATCATGGTGGTGAAGGAATGTACGACATTGTCAAGGTCTTCTGAGGATTTCAGGGTTATACTGAGCTCAATTTCAGCGGAAAGGATTTGATATAATAGTTTTCAGTCGACTAGACCTCTGATAAAGGATAGTGGGGAGGCTGAAACGCTGGGAATCGAGTGCAGAAAGCAATGTTCGACCACTGTTGAACCCCACTATTGATGCTTTGAGTTTAAGTCTGCACCCAAGAGGAAACGATGTCCTAAGGAATTGAGGAGGAAACTAAATTGGGTATTCGATATGCATTGATTAGGAGAGCAATACGCTGATGCAACGGTAATAGGAAAGGAGAAGGTTTTGATTATGATAGCAGTGGATTGTAGGAAATCGTGGCATGTTGTTGGGAGTAGGTAATGCGAGAGAGATTGGTGTACGTTGACAGCAGTACCGGCATGTGCCCTACCGTCAGGGTGGTCAGTACGATATGTTAAGTAC